CCCCCCCCAAGTAAGAAACATGACTTGGGGCTGACAGATTGTGACTCTTAATGAAGAAAATACTTTTTTTTTTCTTTTTTTTTTTTTTTTTTTCGTTTGATTAGAATTGAAACCCATGGAAACAGATTCTAAGTTATTACTAACCCTTTTTTTGTTTTTTTTTAATTTTTTTTTCAATGTACTACCCTTTTTGCTGTTTTTTGTTCTTTTCTTTTTAACAGATATTAGTATGTTACCGATTATTATTATTTTATTTTATTTTCAACCTACATTATCCGCGATCTTCCTCTTTTTTTCAAAAATAGAGTTTTTCTGTGTATAGCTTTGGGCACTGGGCCTTTCGATGATAACGAAAAGGAGGGCAAAAACAAAGGACCGTGGAGGGATAAAGGGAACTCGTCCCTCTCTGTGGCAAATGCATGCGCTGCCAGGTGCAATGAACTTAATCAACAGGCTAGCTTAAACCACCAGTACTTGGCACTTGTCCCTCTCTGTGGCAAATAGATGGGCTGCCAGGTGCAATGAACTTAATCAACAGGCTACCTTAAACCACCAGTACTTGGCCCAGCTATAGGCCGTGCGAAAAAGATTAGAGTAGAAAAAATTAGAGTAGAAAAAATTAGAGTAGAAAAAATTAGAGTAGAAACGTTTCTAGTCGGAGGAATTTGGGCGCTCCTGTAGTGGCCCGTACTTTTCCTAAAATTGTGGCTTGTTAAAGAGCACGACTTTAGGAAGGACTGAGGGGTTAAAGACCTTGGCGGGGGTGCCTGGCTGTGAGGGCCCAAGTGCCCCACTTACCCAAGCTGTGGGTTTCAGGGGTGGGGTCCCACTAGCAAAGAGGATTGATAAATTGATAATAATTTGATAAATATATTTTCTTAGCATGATAAAGTGTCTTTTCTTTCCCTTTTTCTCCCTTTTTAATTTGGATTCCGGATCTTTGCAATGTCTGTGTGTTGTGTATCTCTTTTGATTATGCATCTCCTTGTGGCCTTTTTTTTTTTTTTTTTCTTTTTTTTCTTTTGGAAGCACGTCATTACGGCACAAGACCGCGGTGGGGTACTTCACGTAATGAGCTCATGACTGATCGTTTTTTTTTTTGTTTTTTTTTTAGCATTGATGACTGATGTTTTGGTTTTGCCGTGACTTTTATCTCGGCATTGTTTGTATTTGTTTTTTTTTTGTCTTTTCGTTTCTGCTTTGCCATTATGCAGGTGGCTTACAGAAAAGAGTTGGAAGAGATCGAGGAGCTGCAGCGAAAGAAGGAAGGCCTGGAGAAGGAGTGCAGGTATTGTATAACAGCCCCATTAATAATACACGGTGCTCCACCCGGATTGCTGTGGTGCAAATGTGAGGGATGCCGGACCCGGTTTACGGCCTGTAGTAAAACTCACCTTTTCATGGGAGAAAAAAAAAAGAAGAAAAAAAGACACCTCTTGCCCCCAACAAGCCTAGCTCAGTTGGTACACCCACAAACTGTTGAAAGACAGACTCAGGTTCGAATGCCATTTAGAAAAAAAAAGAATTTATAATAAAAAGAGTCCGGCAGTGTCCCACTTGCAGCTTCGAAGGGGCAAGCAAAAACATGTGCAGGCGACAAAATTGGGTGCGGAGTTTTTTTTTTTTTTTTTTTTTTTTTTTTAAAGGG